CAAGATGTCTCTAAGAACCAAGTCATCTGGTGGGGTTTCCATGCCGGCAATTGTGGCGTCCCATGGTTTAAAAACCTTCTAAGGTCTTCCACAGACTCCCCAGTGCGAACCACTCCCAGTAGGTCCTCGACAGGATAGAGGCTACCGGCTTCCTCAGACGTCCTGTATTAGTCTTCAAGCATCAAAAGGACACTCCTACCTCTGACCTGGATCCTATTCTTCGACTTCTCGTCTTTGAAGTTATGAATCTTTGTCGCAGGATCACCTTGGCAGAGCGAGTTAACGCTGCCGACAACTTGGTGTCCAAGGTAATGAATTTACCTGGATCCTGCAGTTTTTCCTCGAGCTTGTTCCGTGAGTTCTTATTGTCAAAGACTTCATTGAGCCAAATCCAAGCCTCATCAGGTTTGTCGGAGCACGACTTAACCTCGTCCCTGACATGGTTGCGCCAGTGACGGTACGCTTCTGGGGCAGGCATGTCGTTCAGCTTAATAGTCTCTGCCTCTTTGGTTCGAGGCTTTTCACCGTCTGAATCAAATGTCAGTCTGGTGATGAGATCTACAAGTTGTTGACCGGAAAGGCCTAAACCTACCTCAGAGACTTTCTTGTCAGGTTCGCTTGCTACGACAGTGGGACTACGCACGCTTGGTTCATTGTTTGCTTCTTCATGTGGTGGTCTTTGCACTGGCAATGGTGGTAACTTTGGAGGTGCTGCTGATCTTGCAGGAGTAGTGGCAAACAGATTTCTCAACCTTTCGTTAGCGTCTGCGGCTAGCTAGGCTTAGGTTCTGCTCCAGCCTTCGTACTGGCCGACTTTGGGGTCGCGTGCAAGTCCAGATTCATCCCGCCTAGTCCGTCGTCATCATTGCCGACTTCATCAACCTTGATCTCAGGGGCGCTATACTATACTTGTTGAGTTTCTCCATCAGTTCCTCTACCTGCTCTTGAAGTTGAAAGTTGTGTTCAGCGGACTGAGATTCCTGTCTACTGCGCTCCTCTCTCACCTCCTGGATGATAGCTTGTTCCTCCTTTCTGAATCCTTCCATGCCTTGACTTGCATACGCCACCGTTTGATCCACGATTCGTTTACAGCCTGCCTCGAGGCTATTTCTGAGTTCGGAATACCTTGTCTCGTACTGGCTTGCTAAGTGGGCTACCTTTTGGTTTGCTCTTTGCTCAGCTTCCAGTGCAACTGCATTTGCAGCATTCTTTAGCTTTGCGTTTGCATCACTAAGTTCCTTCCTCAGATTCATGACCTCTTGCTCAGCTGCCGTTCGGGACACTGTGTGTTCTGCCGTCAATTGTTCATGTCTCCGCTCAGCTTCTGCGCGATGTTGGGCAATCTCACTAAGACATACTTGCCCAAACTCTTGATACAGTTGCTGAACCTTTTGTTCCATGATCAGTGTGTGCCTTTCCTCAGCTTCATATCGAAAAGCATCAATGTTAACCTCATTTATGTAGGTAAGATTGTTCGGCACAAACTGAAAGTACGCCTGGACCGGTTGATGAAAGAAACCTTCGTCTACCGTCATGGGCGTGGGGTTTGTCCCAGCCGTCACATCCGACTGAGATCCAGTGTGCGCAGATGCCATCGAACTTGTTGCAGGAACAATTGCACCACCCTGACCAGATACATCACCGGGTGCCCTTTCCATGGCTTTAGAGACTACGGCTGATAACCTGTATTTTCAGGTTTCAGCTGGGGTTATCCTATAACTCCCAAACAGACTGATAAACCTAAAAGAGAAATCCAAAACCGTTAAGCTGCGCGACCCAATCCCTTTTTAGCTCGGGCCGCAATGCTACAAGTACAGGCTTTTCTACATGGTGTTTTACATGGGATGCAAATGCATTTCGGAAGACTCTTAGCTGCGACGATCTAAGGGAACGAATGCAGGTGTATGTGATTCTTTGACTGCTTCAAATGTTGGTGCCGGATGCTGCTATGCGAGCGGCATAGGCCAAGCCTGTCTCGGGTCACTTGTTCGCACATCAGATCGGTTGCGTCAAAGAAGATACGGTATCGGATGGGTTTTCTCTGGCAATATATGGGACAAGGTCCGAGGCTACACACATCGAGTTAAATCCCCCTTACCAAAATGCAATAATATGCAGGATGAGGTGACCCACAGCAACGCAGCGCTGTTCAGGTCAACGATCTCTCTGTCTTCTGACGGCGGATGCCAACCTGACATGCCCTTTGGCACCGGTTGGGCTTCATGTCCATCATGTCGCTATGACATTGGAATTTCAAACGCCCCCACACTGACCTTTGAATGGTTGGTTTTTTGATATCCCCAGTGATGTTTCACTGGAACCGATGCTGACCAGAGGTGCTGTGTTGCCGTGGGAGTGGGAGCGTTCGTCCCTGCTTCAACATGCAGTTCCAGCGAGCTGTCTGGCGTCCGGAGCCTGCTTTGCCAAGGAAGGCTGACCTGTGGTTCAATTGTCCCGGCTCAAGTGTCGAGAGATGTGAAACTCGCAGCAAATTAAAGACCGGAAAACACCGGAGAACATCGGAGAACTCAGATTAAGGGAAGAGACCTTCCTGTAGTTACTGTAGTTGAGAGAAGAAAAAAGAGATTGGAGGATGACGGTCAAGGAAAGCACTGGGTCGTAACAGATTGATAAGAAGGGACGTAGAAGAGATAGAGATATATGACGGAAGAGCAAAGAGAGATTGCAGGCAAGTTGATGGATAGAAATTCGACAGATGTAAGTTTGACAGAAATTACGCCAGCATAGACCCCAGATAGCAAAATGTTTTTCTGGTGGCAACCAAGCACTCGCCTTTCTTTCTTCGGCAAAAACGTAATCCCCATCAGGGCAATGCCCACACTGCCATAGACATCTTGCAGCCAACCCCTGCAGCGCCGCCCAAGCTTCGTAGCGTGCAGCACCGTGCAGCGGCATCCTGCAGCGGCGCGCGCACCACTCGAACAGCAGCACACCATGAAGCATCACCCTGCAGAGGCACCCTTTAGCGGCACCCTGAAACAGCACCCTGCAGGCAGCTCCAAAGCGCACCACTTTGACAGCAGCACCCAAGCACACACTTGCTCAGAACAATCTTTGCGAATTCTGATGTGGAATGCATCTTGCGTGCAAAAACACTCCATTAAACCGGACAGGAAAAGTATGAAGATAAGATCAGAGAAGAATCTCGAAGTTTGTATTTCCACGTCCTTGCTAGATGCAAATCGTTCCCTCCCTGACATCAAGTTTGGTTTGAAAATTGTTTGAAAACGACATGCCGGTTCTTGGCTTAGCCGGTTGCCATTGACGAAAAACTGGAAAATTGCAGGTACGTTTTCACAGGAACATTGCAGCTTCTTCGTTGGCCGCTGACTGCAATGTTCCCCAGCGGCCCCCTGCTCAAGTAGAGGTTTTACATCTATTCAGATGTTCCACACGCAGACACAGACACAGACACACAGACACACAGACACACAGACACACAGACACAGACACACAGACACACGTAGCCATTTTGGCTCAAGCCCCTTTGTGGCCGCGAGTGCCACCCTGAATGGACCTGGCTGAGCCCAGACGTGCAGCCAATATTTCCTTGCCTGTGTTGCGAATTTCATTGAACGGCTCTGCGGTTTGATTTCATCATTTACTTTGTGACCTTCTTGAGATTTTCAGAGTGCTGTTTTCTGTGAACATTGCATGTCAATTTTGCTTGTGACTGCAATCGGATTTTTTGTGGGGCTGACGGGATTGATCACTTTGATCCTGCTGCTGAGCACGAGATCTCCTCATTCTACAGAATTCAAGCTTTGAACAAGCAGATTTGGTTCCTGACATTCTCGAATAACATACTGGCCTTTTGCAGTGTGGGGTGGCTCCCACTGGATTGTAACTTATCACCATTTTCGCTGGCCTTTTTCATTGTGGGGTGGCTCCCAGTATTGCAAGCACTGGCCTTTTTGACAGCGGGGTGGCTCCCAACAACTGGTTTCGAATTTCTGGCCTTTTCGCGTGTGGGGTGGCTCCCACTTTCAGATCAGATTTTCCTGGCCTTGCACACTGTGGGGTGGCTCCCATTCACTTTTACAATAACTCTGGCCTTTTGCACTGTGGGGTGGCTCCCAATTAATTTTTAACATTTTCTGGCCTTTTTCATTGTGGGGTGGCTCCCATCCATACAAGCGATTGCCCATTTGACAGTGCGGTGGCTTCCAATTGCCATTTTGGCACTTCTGGCCTTAATTTGCGTGGGGTGGCTCCCATTATTTCTGGCCTTTTTTACTGAGGGGTGGCTCCCTTTTGATTTTGCAATCTTTCTGGCCCATTACACTGTGGGGTGGCTCACATTGACAACAGTGGCGGTAATCTACAGTGCCCTCTACTGGACATACGAGTGTATTACTCTGACACGCCAACTTTTTCTGGCTGAGTACACTCTGCGGGATCAGACTGTATTGGCATTGGTGCCTTATTTGATCGCATTATTTCCCTTTCAGTACTGGCCTATTTTGCTGTGGGGGTGGCTCCCATCCATTTGGCTGCAATTTCTGGCCTTCTTCACTGTAGGGTGGCTCCCATCCTTTTGCAACTTGTGGACGGTTACGCAGACGTTCATTCTGGCCTTTTCATTTGCAGGGTGGCTCCTGCTTCATTGTGTTTTTCTGGCCTTGTATACTGTGGGGTGGCTCCCTCTAATTCAGGATTTTTGGCATTCCACCTGTGACAGCTGGCTCACTGGTGTTTTCCTCTATTTGGATTTTTGTGGACGCAGAGCAAAGCGACAGTTTGTGAGCTGGGGTCTTTCCGATCCTATTACTGATTTCAGACGGGCTGCAAATTACATCAGAACCACCTACTGGGTTTCAGACGGTTCACTCCAAGTGCACTGCCCTGCGGCACACCTACCCGGTCCCAAGTCCGGGCGCTGGTGGCAACAGAAGATTGGCTGGCTTTCCTTTGCTGTGCTGACAGGACTCTTGCTACTACAATCTGCTGCTGGCGGGGGTGAGGGTTGTGGTTGGGCCATGACAACCACTGAAACATCGTCATTTAGAGACGGTCTCATCTTGCAACATGCAGATGTGAAGATTCATGGACCGCGGCCAGAAGAGAGCTTCGGCCCAATTGTCTGGCCTCATCACGAGAAAAAAGTGGTGAAACGAAGCATCAGAAGGGCGTTCAGACGGGCACAACGAGATGGTGTCTGCTGGTATCGAGGGCAGTGTTTGACCCCCCAAGATTTTCAATTTCCTACTCCAATGCAACAGAAGCTGCATCCTGCTGCACCGCTGACAAATCAGCGGACACGCAATGACCTCCGACAATGCAATGCCTCTCAGCAGAACAGGAGATATTTGCGATTTTTGCAGTGGAACACCTCTGGACTCTCCAAGGAGAAGCTGGAAGAGATCAAATGCTGGCTCAGCACCCAAAATGCTGACGTAGTGGTCTTACTCGAGACACACTGGCGCTTTACCAGTGACTGGAGTGACAGTGAATGGCATCACATCCACAGCGGTGACTCTGAGAATGCTGGTGCTGGCATTCTTCTCATGGTTTCCAAGAGGGTCGCAAAACTGCAACAGTTGCAATGGCAGGAAGGGCTTCCCGGGCCGCTTGGTCCATGCAAGATTGGGATATGCAACACGTCATGTTGATATACTTGCTTGCTACCAACATGCCAACACGTCCCTCCAACGCAGACTGGATCAAAGACGTAGCTGGTGGTCTGGACTGGATCAATATTTGAGCAAACTTCCACGCAGGAATACCCTTATGGTTTTAGGAGATTTCAACTGTAGCCTTGATGCTTGTGCTGCTCATGTTGGTTGTGCCAAATTTCATTCGACGCTTGGCCTCACTTTGGGGGTGCAGCATGCAGATGCCGGACAGTTCCTTTCCATTGTCAGAGCTCATGGACTGGTTGCATTGAACTCCTTTTGCCCTTCCTTGGGTCCAACATATACGCATGGAACACATTGCTCACGCATTGTTTTCACCAGGCTCAACACTGCTGACGGCTGTGCCAAGAATGTGAAGTATTTGCATGATCTCCCTTTTTTGAATGCTAAGAAAGTTGGGCATGTGCCGATGATGTGTCAGCTCAAGCGCTACTGGGTCCCCCCTGGGGTTGACAGTGGGACCGCTGGCATTTCTGCCCAACAGCGTCTTCAGGGACGAAACGCATGCTTTTCTGACACAGAACAGTGGCGACACTTTATGTGCCACTCTGAACGCTGCCTCACTGAGTTTTTGCAGAATGTGGGGCCCTCAGATCCAGAATTTATCAGCAAGCTGCATGCCACTGCCAGTGTTAGCTTCAGGGATTGCTTTCCTGCGGGTCAGGGCTCCTCATCAACTCAACATTGGTCATTGGATAGATCCATCATTCTCGATAAATGGAAGCATCGTGCCTGTTGTAAACAACTGCAAATTGTGAACCCTCGGAATGTTTTACATGCATGGTTTCACATGGCGCGTTTTCAGGCTTTGAAGCGGCTTCACAAACGACATGCATGGCAGGTCCGACACAATCAATTTGCTCAGATACTTGTGGAAGCTCAGCATGCGGCCAATTGTCATGACTCTCACAAACTGTTTCAAACAATTTCCAAGTTTTGTCCGAAACAGCCGTGCAGAAGGGTTCAGTTGAGAAATCAGGTTGGTAGCATTGCATCCCCTGTAGAAGAGCTTGCAATTCTCAGTGCTTTTGTGCAGACTGTTTGGCATGGACCCGACGCTGTCCCCATGTCCAATGATGTGACAGGAATGCCTTTTTCTGAACATGACCTGATGCGTGCTTTGCAGAGCATCCCTGCCTGTAAAGCTGTTGCTAAGCCATTCGTGGCTGGCTACGTTTGGAAATCGCACGCGGCACTTCTCACACCATATCTGTATCGTGCACTTGAGATGTGGTGGAGTGGGTCATCAGCCTATATACAACAGCATTGGAAAGATGGATGGATGTTACTAATCCCAAAACCGGCCAAGCCTCCGGTCAAGCCGGAGGCCTTGCGCCCCCTGGCGCTCCAGGAACCCCTGGGCAAAAGTGTGATCGGACTGTTAGCCCAAATAGCAAAGGATGAGTCCCAGTTTCTCATGGTGACATTACCACTATGGGCCTACATGAGTCAACGCTCCACCCAACATGCGCTGCAAAGGGTTGCTGAACACTGCAGAAAAGCCAGAGTTCTCCTGGGATCACAGAAACCGACTGCTTTTCATCGTTTCCAAAATTTTCCTAAGTTTCAGGTTTGTGGCGCTGTGCAATTATTTGTTGATTTGCAACGTGCTGTCGATTCCATTTCAAGACTTCGGCTGTTTAGTAGACTTGGTGAGGTTGGAGTGAATCCCAGGGTTGCTCAGCCTTTGACCAGCTGGCACTGCCACACCAACTACCATGTCACGGTTGGTGGTACCAGTCAAGCCTTACCAGTTGGATCTGGTGTGCGCCAAGGTTGTAAGGCTGCCCCGTGGCTTTTCAACGCCTTCCTTGCCATTTATCTTATGGATCTTGCTCAAATCATTGATATCAATTGGCTTAGGGAGCACCTAGACCTTCATGCTGATGATATCCATGTTGGTAGCTTGTTTTTTTCCGAGCGTGAGTTGCACATGATCCTTCAGAAATGTGGCATCATTTTGGAGCAGCTGCAAGTGCATGGACTTACAATCAACACCACGAAATCTGTCATCATCCTGGCATTGGCTGGAACCTCACACCGAGACGTGCGTGCGAGACTTGTGACTCACACTGCTGATGGACAGATGATCAAAATCAAGGGCGCTGGCAATCAGACTTTTCATGTCCCGCTTGCAAAGACGACCAAATACCTTGGATGCATCATCAGCTACGATCGCATGGAATCAGATACATTGAAGCATCGACTCTCACTCATGAAGATTGCCTTTGATCGATTGCGCAAGTGGCTCACAGCAAAACATGGTATGACCATGCTCACCAGGATGCAATTGTGGCAGACATGTGTACTACCTGTACTCACATATGGTATCTTTGTGATTGGCCTTGCACCACAGGACTTGCAGAGGATTCAGATCACCATGTTCACCATGCTGCGACAGATTCTTCATAATCATCTTTTTCGAACAGGCATGACGCATGAACAAGTCTTGAGCCGCTGGAATCTCTTGCATCCGTTGGCCTTGCTTTGGCACGCTGCCGACAGTCTTCACAGGTCAGTGACCCAGAACCAACATCTTTTGTCAGCCAATGACATTGCGCGCAATATTGACTGGAGCAGCCTGGTTGCTGTCAAAGATATGATTTGGAACCATCACCTCATAGGCCTGGAAGCCTCTGGACTGCCTGGTCCTGACACGTTTCTACAGTCAGGCACCCAGGAGGAAGACATTATCACCTGTGAGATTTGTGGTTTTCTTTGCCAACATGTCAGTGTTTTGAGACGTCACTACACACTGGCCCATAAGATTACCCCTGGCGTCCCTTGGTCTCCGCCGCTTTTGCGTGGCAGCGTGGGACAATGTGCGCTGCCAAGGGGTCGGATGTACGCCCTGGCGTCCCTTGGTCTCCGCCGCTTTTGCGTGGCAGGCGTGGGACAATGTGCACTGCCAAGGGGTCGGATGTACGCCCTGGCGTCCCTTGGTCTCCGCCGCTTTTGCGTGGCAGGCTTGGGACAATGTGCATTGCCAAGGGGTCGGGCTCACTCACTCACTCACTCACTCACTCACTCACTCACTCACTCACTCACTCACTCACTCACTCACTCACTCACTCACTCACTCACTCACTCACTCACTCACTCACTCACTCACTCACTCCCTCACTCACTCACTCACTCACTCACTCACTCACTCACCCACTCACTCACTCACTCACTCACTCACTCACTCACTCACTCACTCACTCACTCACTCACTCACTCACTCACTCACTCACTCATCTTCACTCACTCACTCACTCACTCACTCATCTTCACTCACTCACTCACTCACTCACTCATCCTCACTCACTCACTCACTCACTCACTCACTCACTCACTCACTCACTCACTCACTCACTCACTCACTCACTCACTCACTCACTCACTCACTCACTCACTCACTCACTCACTCACTCACTCACTCACTCACTCACTCACTCACTCACTCACCTCCCTCACCTCCCTCACCTCCCTCACCTCCCTCACCTCCCTCACCTCACTCACCTCACTCACCTCACTCACTCAACTCACCTACTCACCATCACGCACCTCACTCACCTCCTCACCTCACTCCCCTCAACTCACCTCACTCACCTCACTCACCTCACTCACCCACTCACCTCACTCACCTCACTCACCTCACTCACCTCACTCACCTCACTCACCTCACTCACCTCACTCACCTCACTCACCTCACTCACCTCACTCACCTCACGCACCTCACTCACCTCACTCACCTCACTCACCTCACTCACCTCACTCACCTCACTCACCTCACTCACCTCACTCACCTCACTCACCTCACTCACCTCACTCACCTCACTCACCTCACTCACCTCACTCACCTCACTCACCTCACTCACCTCAATCACCTCACTCACCTCACTCACCTCACTCACCTCACTCACCTCACTCACCTCACTCACCTCACTCACCTCACTCACCTCACTCACCTCACTCACCTCACTCACCTCACTCACCTCACTCACCTCACTCACCTCACTCACCTCACTCACCTCACTCACCCCACTCACCCCACTCACCTCACTCACCTCACTCACCTCACTCACCTCACTCACCTCACTCACCTCACTCACCTCACTCACCTCACTCACCTCACTCACCTCACTCACCCCACTCACCTCACTCACCTCACTCACCTCACTCACCTCACTCACCTCACTCACCTCACTCACCTCACTCACCTCACTCACCTCACTCACTCACTCACTCCACTCACTCCACTCACTCCACTCACTCCACTCACTCCACTCCACTCCACTCCACTCCACTCCACTCCACTCCACTCACTCACCTCACTCCACTCCACTCCACTCACTCACCTCACTCACCTCACTCACCTCACTCACCTCACTCACCTCACTCACCTCACTCACCTCACTCACCTCACTCACCTCACTCACCTCACTCACCTCACGCACCTCACTCACCTCACTCACCTCACTCACCTCACTCACCTCACTCACCTCACTCACCTCACTCACCTCACTCACCTCACTCACCTCACTCACCTCACTCACCTCACTCACCTCACTCACCTCACTCACCTCACTCACCTCACTCACCTCAATCACCTCACTCACCTCACTCACCTCACTCACCTCACTCACCTCACTCACCTCACTCACCTCACTCACCTCACTCACCTCACTCACCTCACTCACCTCACTCACCTCACTCACCTCACTCACCTCACTCACCTCACTCACCTC